ACTCGGGATAAATTTCATGAACTGATACCAGAGAGCGTGGGTTGAATCCAATACTCAGAACTTATGAGCACTCATGAGTGTTATAGCCATGTCCAACATCTTAGACCTCTACAACCAACTCATGACAGTCTGATTCATACCTACTTCCAACATATGACCGACTGTGGATGTTTGATAACTTAGTCATTCAGGAAGAGCGACTTAGTTTATTCTGGAAGTCAAAACATGCAAAGTGAAACACAAGATAATCGAATCCAATATGATCTCAGAACTTATGAATATAAATAAAACAACTTTATTATAACACCATATTGATTACCCATCATTCATTGCATACTGTTTTAAACTATCAACTTTATACTTGAATTTAAAAACAATAGTTGTCCCATGCTCCAAGAACGTACACTATGTTTTTCTAAACACTAGTCATGCCATACACCAAGTATGCACACTATGTTTTTCCAAACATTAGTTATGCCATACACCAAGTATGCACACTAAGTTTGTCTATGATCTTCTGTGAAATAGATCGATTGAACATAATTCCAATGATACTTATTTCACAATCTCAAATCCTTACCGCAAATGCAAGAATTCCAAATTCCTGCCATTTACCTAAATCTGTTAGATTCTAAACTTATATGCATTGGTCCTCTTGTAATGATTATGCACAAAGTCACAAAGACTTGTCAACAGACATTACAGAGTTTCCACTGGAGATCAACTCCATGAAACGAAGTCTCATATTCAAAGTTCATTGCCTTTGAACATTCTTCTTGCATTAAGTTTCCTAATATTACACAAATTTAATGAATAACTTCCACCTATGGGAATATTTCCATATTCCCCTTTTGACTATTACTCCTGAACAAGAGTTGCCTCTTTCCAGACTATGTCAATACGACCCTTCCAAAATTAACACTATACTTCCAACTGTCCCTGAGCAACCAATCTTTGGTAAACCTTAGATTGTCCTCAACAATTGCTTAATCAACTTAGTCATATCTAGTTCTAGTACTTTTTCCCTCTTAATGCACTAGGCATTTGGAAAAAATTTTAACAGGTGAATATTATAGCACATGCAAAGATCCTATATCCGAAGCATGGGACACGTTCATAAAAGACATGATATAAGACCAGTCGTTTGCTATAATATTTCTATTTCTATTTGCCAAGTTCTCATAATTCAGATTTTGAAAATAGATGTCGTAATCATAATCGAATTTTAGAACGCAAATAATTGACCCATATATAGAATTTCCTTGTGTTGAGTCATTCCAACATAAAATTCATAGTATATATATATATATATATATATCCTTGACTAAAGATGATTAAAACCTCAATCTAAGCTTTTAGAATTGAAATGAAGTATAATTTCCTCTCCCTTAATTATAAGCAAAACAACTTTTTTCCCAATGGAAACCTTTTGTTTTCTATAATTAACATTGCTAACTTGCAACACTTATATTATAATTATCAGCGCCCACTTGCATGATGATTATAGCATAACACGTATGCTCCCACTAGCTTTGACATGCACTCGAAATCAGCTGGACTTCTAGAAATCAATACTTTATGACCTTCTTCCCAAGTTCATATTTCTTATACGAGATGCTTTGATAAAACTTTATCAAAATCATACACCTTTCCTTAGATAGCACACATGTGTGTCTAAACAATTTCAGAACTATGAAAAGGGATGTCGTAATCATAGTCTCAATTGTTTAGATATTTGCCATTTCTCACAAGTCCATGTTAGTGTGTCGGTTAACCACACACGCTCCACTAACGACTTTGAGAATGCAAATATCACCATTGCTATCTACTTAAAATCTACTTAGTGAAAGTGTTTCCTCACCATCATTTTCATGAATCGGAGAGAAACCTTATGACACTTAGATTTTATGGTGTATGTGTTCCTATCCATGTGAATTTGTCAAAACCATAATCACCAGACAAGGTTAGTGACAAATCCAAACTCATATGGATTGAACTTGTGCAGTCTCAACTTCTTGCCACCTGGCAGCACAAGGGCCTACCATTGCTTCCGAGTTGTTATGCAACCAATTGAGAACTCTCAGAACTCATATGCAAAGCCAACTTTAACTGGAATGGGCACAGAAATAGGAATATGTCAACACGATAGGTTATAAACCTCAAGTCGTGTGCTAGTGATAAACTACAGGTTTTTCTTCTTGATAAGATCTAGAAGCTTGTCCAAGATCTTTAAGACTCCCACTGTCCTCTTGACATATAAGACTCACTTGCCAAATATTCAAGAGATAGTGCAGATTCTTTATCAAGACAAACACTTCACACAATTGGCCTTAGTTGGTCTTTGTTTTATCCACAACATCACAACTTACCAACTGTCACACCCCGAAACTGGAATGGCAGAATCGTTCTGGGGTGGAGGACGTCATGTTTAGCATCACAACCAGTGTATAATAGCAATCATAGTAAACACAACCAAACATTGCATACATGAAAATTTAATAAGTTTACATCGGTTTTAAATATGATTCGAATACACCAAAAGTATAAGGAAAATATAAAGACATAATCTTATTCGCTCCGACTTCTTCACAATGCTCGGAAGGTACCTATCTACTGATTCCCTGAGAATACAAGCAGTTTAAAAGACTATCAGCATAAAGCTCGTGAGTTCATAAGCATTTAGTTTTAGAGAAAAACGTTCTTTGATCCTTTTTGAAAAGTGTTCCTCAAGAAAATCCCATATTTTCTTATGAAAAGTATGTTTGCAAACCCATTCCTTCCATGACTTCCCGGTTCATACTTGATACGCACAATCCAAGGAGTCATGGAATGAATGTGAATATCCGTTAGTAGAGTAGTAAACTATCAGTTTTAGAAATGTCGGTGTTATCCTGGGAAAATCCTATATTTCCCCTAAAAACAAGTTATCCGTCCTAGAGGTAGAGATGCAAGTTTAGAAATCCCTGATTACTATCAGTATATAAGAAAGTAGTTTTATTACTTAAAATAAAAACAATTGAAGAGTAGAGTCCGTAAACCAAGGTTAGTTTATACTTATTTGCGAGTCGTATAACCATGCTTGATATGACCTAGAAACCTTTATAACGTTCTTCAGGCGTTAAGTTAAATGACATTTGTCCACCCCAGGCATGCCTGCCTAACTGTAGCTAGCAGTTCAGGTGTGGGATTGTCGGTCCCGAATAGATCTATTCACAAATCTCACGCTCTCCCTCAAGGAGACTCTGGTTATACTAAAATGATTTATCCCTGTACACCTAAGGGTACAATATTGAAGTAGAGCCTCACAATCCTGTATAATCTAGTTTACGAGCTAGAAACAGTAATAAACAATAATTATCCTTGAATAATTGTACTTTATATTCCTGAGAAAATATATAACATAAACTAAATCTGCCATAGTTTATATATATTCATCCATGAAATCTGATTTGGTAAAAACTGCTTAGAGGGTTATCCCAAACTATACCCATTATAGTTTATTAGAATTGATATGGAAAATGCTTTGTAAAAACCTTTCTGAAAGCTATGAAGTTAGATTTCCAAAATTAAAGTTTCCCTTATGCTCAACATATTACAAAAAGGGATAAAATATCCGAATATGTTATTAAACGTGGAAATCGTTGGACTGCATTAATAAGTTTAAAACTTAATAAAATCCTTTGAGTTTGGCTTGTATTCCCCCACTGAAAACATTAAAAACACGGAAAATGTAGGGGTATGAACTCACCTCGGGCGATTTGAATGAAGGATCGATACGGAATGCGGGATGTTCAAGTGAAGCCTTGAACACGATTTGATCCTAATTAACATGTAATGACACATAAAGGAGTCAAATGAAGGTATTTCACTACTAGATATGATGGGGAACCACTCTAAGAACTTGAGACTACTTGCACTAAGTGTTAGAACCTTAAAGGACTGAATGAGGGAGGTGTATGGCCACCTTAAAGGTGTGTGCGGCCATGGGTGTGCGGCCGTACACTCATGATGGAGGGTGCCTTTGAGGTGTTTTCAAGGTCCATACTTGCATCCATGAAGTGTTCTAGGTCTATACTCAATTGTAGTGCAAGTTAAGGGTCCTAGAAGTGGGTTTGCGGCCCTAGGATGAGTGTGTGGTCGCACACGGGAGTGTGCTACCACATAAGGGTGTGTGCGGCCGTACACAGGTGTGTGCGGTCGTACACCCTACATGATGATGTCCAAAATGCCAATTCTAAGGTGCAGCAAGGCTAGGGTCATGTCCAACTCGAATATGGAAGTCAAACTCTCACTTTGGAGGGTATTTTAAGAGTGTGCGGCCACCTTATGGGGGTGTGCGGCCACACTCACTTCCAAACACGAAGAACATGACGAATATTGCACACTTAAGGCTTAGATAGAGTGGTCTTTCAAGGATATCAAGTTAGAGGATGAATTACTCACGTTCTTGAAGCTTTGGAGGCTTTGTGGTTGAAGAAGCTTGAGAGAATGGTGTAGTGTGCGGCCAAGGAGTGAAAGGAATGAAGGGAAAGGGGTCTACCCTTTATATAAGGGTGAGTGTGCTGCCAAGAGGTAGGTGTGCGGCCGCACACCCATGTGTACGGCCGCACACCCATGTGTACGGCCGTACACTCCTAAAGGTGTGTATGGCCCGATTTTGTTACTATACGACTTGCTGACTCATTGCTAACCTCAACCTTGGTTATACTCATGCTTAGAACGCTTAGATGAACCCTTAAAGGGACGAAGTTAGCAAGTTTTAAGCAAACAAGAGACGATCCGAGTTAATTTTTGAAAATATGGACTAAACACGTTTTCTGGCATATGCACGAGAGACGATTGGTGTAATTTACCCAAACCACGGTTTGTGATATTTTTGTGTTTTTTCTGTATTTTATTATTTTATATAACAATCATTTTACATGAACACAACATATTAGCACCTAATAAACACAAACAACACCTCCCTAATAACAAATATGACGTCATCTCAATCTCTAACGGTAGGTAGTAAAGAAAAAGGGAAGAAGCCCAAATATATAATTACTGCGAATGAATGATTTATGGTGATGAACTGTCATATACCCCTGTATTGGGAGAGAATTAGTGTCTTACAGAGGAGAAGAAAACATGATGCTATCAGACGCTATGGAAGACGAAGACAAATGGCTAGCAGAAGGGGTCGCTGGAATTCAACACAACGCTTACTACATGCATCGCGCCTTGGTAATATATATGTTTAATTTCAACTTTCTTTACTTCCTATTTGATTTGATTTTGGATTTCGATAGCAATCAATCCGGCAGTTGCGATTTCTCTCTAATATGTGTTGTTTCTTGATAAAATTCACATCAGGATTCTAACAATCTCAGAGAAGCCCTAAAATACTCGGCACAGTTGTTGTCCGAGCTTCGGACTTCGAGATTATCTCCTCACAAATACTACGAGCTCTGTAATCTTCTATTCATCTTTCATTTAGTTTTATCTAATTTTGTAGCAAAATAACCTTTTTATGATGAGCTATGCTCATGTTCCAAGAATTGGATATATAGTTTGACTTTTGGGATCGTTAGACTAACTCTCAACTTGATGATGATATGAATTGCATCGATCGTGGAGAAGTATCACATTGCCATATCAAACTCTATAACATAATTGTGGTGTTAGTTTTGTAAGAGAATCCATATCAATAAAAGAAAGAAGTTAGACCTAATTGTACACACTATCTATTAAAACTATATCTCCCTCTCTCCCCCGTTGAGAACGAGTCTGTATCAAATTGGAGTTCAAAAACGATTTCCAAATCTTTTAATCACTATGTTTCCTTGTTTAAAGAACTTCAGTATCTTGTTTGGTTGACACTTGACATATTCAGATATGAGAGCATTTGATGAGTTGAGAAAGTTGGAAGTGTTCTTTAAGGAAGAAGAGAGACATGGCTGTTCAGTAGTGGACCTGTATGAACTTGTCCAACATGCTGGAAACATTTTACCTAGACTGTAAGTGACAATACAACTATAAGTTATTTAAACCCTACATACTTATTGGTTACACTAATTCATCTCTCTGATTTACAGGTATCTCCTATGTACAGTAGGATCTGTCTACATAAAATCAAAAGAAGCTCCTGCTAAAGATGTTCTTAAAGACCTTGTTGAAATGTGTCGTGGGGTCCAGCATCCCATACGTGGACTCTTCCTTAGAAGTTACCTTGCACAAATCAGTAGAGATAAGCTCCCAGACATTGGCTCTGAATATGAAGGGTAATACTAATACTAATACTAGTTGAAGTAATTTGTTTTATTCAACAATTTTGATATTGTTTGTTGTTTTGTAGAGATGGTGATACTGTGATGGATGCTGTTGAATTTGTGCTACAAAACTTTTCAGAAATGAACAAGCTTTGGGTTCGGATGGAAGTTCAGGTTTGTGGGTCTGTATCTTTATTGTTTTACTTTTATGTTGTGAATTGTGACATGCATTATGCATGTCATACTTTCATGACACAAATATTGTAATGAATCATGACTCATGAGAGCATGATTTTTCACAATGCAGGACTAATAGTGCTTGTACTACTACATTGATTTTGGTGATCCTGAGTTGAGGCCTTCATTTGGGATTTCTGGTCTGCAGGGACCCACAAGGGTGAGAGACAAAATGGAAAAGGAGAGGAATGAGCTGCGTGATCTTGTAATATCAACAAACACCATGGACACACATTCATTCATATGGTTAAAGAGTAAATAGTATCATGTTGATTCATTGTTATTTAAACACATTTTTGAAATTGAAATTTCAGGTTGGGAAAAATCTTCATGTCCTTAGTCAGATAGAAGGTATTGACCTTGATTTGTACAAAGAAACTGTTCTTCCTAGAGTCTTGGAGCAGGTGACTTTATTCCAATATTTCCATTTTTTTTATAACTTTGTAAGTATATAGATTACAGAATTAGAATACACTTATATTTTTTTCTGTATGATAGGTTGTGAACTGTAAGGATGAGCTGGCACAATATTATCTTATGGACTGCTTGATTCAGGTCTTTCCAGATGAGTATCACTTACAGACTCTTGAAACCCTTTTAGGAGCTTGCCCTCAACTTCAGGTGTGTAATGTTGTTTAATAATTCTTCAATTATAATTTTTTTTAAAGTTTTAACTATGTAATAAAATAATATGTTGAAATTTCAGCCTACAGTTGACATCAAGACAGTGTTATCCCAACTTATGGAGAGATTATCAAGTTATGCTGCTTCTAGTCCAGAAGTGAGTTAACTTTTCATGGGATTTTTTTTTTTTTTCATTTTGTCATGTTTTTGCATTTTGTCAAAGTGATTACTTTTTCAGGTGTTACCAGAGTTTCTCCAAGTAGAAGCTTTTTCAAAATTAAGCAGTGCTATTGGAAAGGTACTTGTGAATCTTTCCACTTATGACACATTTTAGATAAATGGGTGTCAAAAAATTGTAACTTTTGTTTATTTATCTATATATAAATATGCTGAAGTATAAACTTATTTCACAGGTTATTGAAACTCAAGGTGATATGCCAATTGTTGGAGCCATTACTTTATATGTTTCTCTTCTCACATTCACTCTTCGTGTTCATCCTGATCGACTTGATTATGTGGATCAAGTCCTGGTATGTTAATTTTTATTTTATTTACATTTCTTCCTATAATTCTGTGGATTTTTGGAAGTAGAATTATGTTGGTGTTTGTTGAATAGGGATCATGTGTGAAGAAACTTTCCAACAAACCAAAGCTTGAAGATAGTAGAGCTACAAAACAAGTTGTTGCACTTTTGAGTGCACCATTGGAAAAATACAGTGATATTGTTACTTCTTTAACATTATCTAATTATCCTCGAGTTATGGATCACCTTGATAATGAAACTAATAAAATCATGGCTATGGTTATTATCCAAAGTATAATGACAAATCATGCTTACGTGTCCTCTGCTGACAAGGTTAATATTTAACTTATTTTATTATTTCCCAATATTGTTTTTCCTTCATAATTTGTGAATCTTGTATTTGTTTTGTTGCAGGTTGATGTTCTTTTTGAATTAATCAAGGCCTTATTAAAGATTTGGAGGGTGATCCAGAAGATGAGGTGGATATTATAAACTGCTTTTGACTTATTTGAGTTTTTTTTTTTTTTTCACTACTTTGTATAATTCTTTTGTTTTTATTTAGCTTGATGAAGAGGATTTTAATGAGGAACAAAATTCTGTTTCTCGAGTTATACATGTGCTGTATAATGATGACCCAGAGGAGATGCTGAAGGTACCAATGTTTTGTTTTTGACTTTTGATCAAGTCTTTTGGGGTTGACTAATTTACTATTATACCCTTGTGCTTTAGATTATTTTAACTGTGAGAAAGCATATCATGGCTGGAGGTCCAAAGCGTCTTCCTTTCACAATTCCTCCTCTTGTTTTTTCAGCTTTAAGGGTATGCAGAGCTTTTATTTTTCTTGTAAATAATCTTAAATATTTTTAATTAATCGTATTAATTTTTTATTATTATTATTTTTTTTTAATTTGCAGTTGGTTCGTCGATTACACAATCAAGATGGAGATGTAGCTGGAGAAGAGGATCCAGCAACACCTAAGAAAATTTTCCAGCTCCTAAATCAGGTGATTTTCAGAAAATTTTATATGGAAAGATAGGACATTTACGGATTTGCCCTTGGGTTCATAACATTAAGCCTTGTACATTTTCAGACAATTGAAGCACTTTCATATGTTCCAGCACCTGAACTGGCATTGAGATTGTACTTACAGTGTGCAGAGGTAAACTTATTACCTATTGAGATCATTTGACAAATCTACCCTCAACCTTGATATCACTTACATAAAATATTTTATTTTAATTTTTTTTTTTCTATTCAGGCTGCTAATGACTGTGATCTGGAACCAGTTGCATATGAGTTTTTCACCCAAGCATTTGTTTTATATGAGGAAGAAATTGCAGTAATTGCTCAATCCCTTAACATGCATAAACAAAGTGATTTTAATAGAGTTTTATTTTATTTTTTTTAATTATTTACAAACACATGACTCATTTATTTGCATGTTGACAGGATTCCAAAGCTCAAGTAACTGCAATTCATCTAATAATTGGAACCCTTCAAAGGACACATGTCTTTGGTGTGGAAAACAGGGACACCTTGACACATAAAGCCACAGGGGTAATAAAATAACTAATAACAAACACAATTCAAACAGCAATCATATTTTCACTATTTTTTTTAACTAAAAATCTATTTTTTTTACATGTTTAGTATTCTGCTAAACTTTTGAAAAAGCCAGATCAGTGCAGAGCTGTGTATGCATGTTCACATCTGTTTTGGGTGGATGACCAGGATGGAATCAAGGATGGAGAAAGGTATTCCATTCCATTCTTTCCATTCCGTTCTTCTTTTGTCGGAATTGACACAATCTTGATTATTCCAATTCCAATTCCAGGGTTCTCCTTTGTCTTAAACGTGCGTTAAGGATTGCAAATGCTGCACAGCAAATGGCAAGTGTTGCACGTGGTAACAGTGGGCCCGTGACTCTCTTTGTTGAAATACTCAACAAGTAATTAATCTCACTTTTAATAGCAACGTATTTTCATTTCTTTCTTTTTTATATTACAACATTTTTACCTTTATTATATAAAAATGTTATTCAGGTATTTGTATTATTTTGAGAAAGGGAATCCACAGATAACAAGTGCTGCGATCCAAGGGCTGATAGAGCTGATCAAAACCGAAATGCAAAGTGACACAGCAACACCTGATCAAAACTCTGATGCTTTCTTTACTTGTACCTTAAGGTACATACAGTTCCAGAAACAGAAAGGTGGGGCCATGGGTGAGAAATTTGATACTATTAAGCTCTGATCATCTTTTCTAACCCTAATTTGTTTTCTTTTTCTTTTTATATTTGTATAATTTGACACAAATATATATATATATATATATTTTGTACATTATAATTTGACAGAATTTGTGTGATATGAGTTTCACTTGTACTCTGTGCTGTTGTACTTGTACACTGGATAACAAATTCCATGAAACAGAATATATGAAATCATTGAATACGACGAAAGTGAAGGACCCTTTCAAATTCAATTATGGAGAGTCTAGTTTGTTGGGTCAACTTAAAAGTAGCTTTTCTTTAAACTCCTATTTCACTCCATGTATATGTGGGTCCCTTTGAAATGTTTATATTTGATATGTGAAAGACAAAAATAGTAGGTTATTTGGAATTTATATTTATGGAAAAAGGTAGTTTGGTCATGGTTATATATTTATAGAATTTTTAAATGTTGTTTCCTAGTTGTGATTAGATTGGTGAAGATGATAATCAGTTTGAAGTTTGAACGATAAAGGGTGAGGAAATAAACAAATGGATAAATAAATAAATATACAAGATTATCTTCAAAGTGTATACAAAAAAGGTTGCCTAGTTATAAAAAAAACGTCAAAGGTTGTTTGTTATTACTTGTCATCTGGCATCTAACAACGCCGTGAGGAGCGCGAATGTCATTTCACCACCATCCCCTTTCCCCTTATTCACTTTATATTTTTATATTTTTATATGTTTTTAATCATTTTGGTGTAAAAAACATGAGTTGGATATTTCTTTAAAGGTGTGTCTTTTTTTTAGGATTAATATCATAAATAGACAACATGACTATCTTTTTTTTTTTTAATAATATATCGTGGTTCTAAAAAGTATCATAAATAGCTAAAGAACTATTTGTTTTGTTAATAAAAATGTCATTAATATAGCACCCCAAGTTTTTGATTATGCTTGTGGTCTTGAATGTGAATGGAAAATGTGGAATCTATGTGCAATCGTACAACGTTTTGTACAAGTATGAGGAAAATAAATATGCGGTGCAAATCAACGTAGATTACCTTAATCGACTGTTCAATAAAAGATGACAATTAAGGAGGGATGTGTAAATGATAAGTTCAACTTATAAACGAGATGATAATCCAATTATATTACTATTTTATGTGTTTAGGTTTGATGTTCATTTTTATATTATGCATGTATATGTGAAAGCCGGTAGGCCATAAAAGCTTCAAAAGGTTGTGCTATATTGGAGGAAATGTTCCATAGTTAAATTATTCTAATACTAGTTTATGTGTACAGATTTGTTATAAGTTGCTATTATATATGTAAAATTCTAAGTACATTCGTATATTTGTATAAATACATATATGAAAACATTCGTCGTTATGGTAGTTTAAAATACCTTTTAAAATCATTTAATTTTTAAATTAAACAAGTTCAAAGTTTTAATTGCAGAAAAACATAGAGTCTCATAGTTCAAAACAAATTTACAAGTTCAAAGTTTTAATTGCAGAAAAACATAGAGTCTCATAGTTCAAAACAAATTTACAAGTTCAAAACTAATGAGAATGTGACGATATAATATCACAACATAGTTCAAGATAATTGCACAAATCATGACCTTCAAAATATCCTTGTTATCTTTTCTTCTTATCTCTAAGGTCTTCAATCTTAGCATGTGAAATGCCTAGTGAAAATACTCGATGTTCATTCATTTGGAGTAAAAAGATATCAATGTAACTTATTCAAATCAAACCTCCAAAATCAAAGGAAAATCATCGTTTTAACAAGTTTGTAAAAAAACGCTAGATCATATCTAGTCGGTCGATTGAGATTAATGAATTAATGAATCCAGGTGGGGATTAATCGAAGACCCTAAATTATTAAAGAATTTAATTAAAAATAAATAAATATCACTAAAATAGAAAAGTTTGATTCATTTAATATTCAAAAATACATAAAAGATTATACAGATAGGTAAAAGTTAAAACAAATAGCAAAGTGATTTATGATCAAACTCACAGAAACCGGGGTCGGCATGAAGGTTGGTATCAGATGATGAGAGATAGAGAAACGTAGCTGTCGGCATGATGAGAGAAAAAGAGATGTGAAAAGATGAAAGTTGGGCATTTACTTACCATTTGTGTTTTTTCATTCTTTAATTTTGATATTTTTTGGATTTTTTTTGACTTATTTTGATTTTTTTTGATAATTTTGACCATTTGACGTTTTGGCTAATTTTGATCGCCTATACCAATTAATCGGCTACCTAGGCCCATATATGTCCGCCTAGCCTGCTTTTGACATATCCCGCATAATAAGACTGATTAACATTATTCGTAGGAGGATGAAGAACGCTAAGCGATTAATCGGACGCCTAAACTGAGTTTTACAACATTGGGTTTTAATGACTAGACTGAAAAATAAAAGAGATTTTATAACCCATAGCTCAAAATATAATCAAATGTTAAACATTGGTTATGACAAATCATATGAAAACTCTAAAAAAGGTAAATAAGAAATAAAGTACGAAATAATATGCAATGCATGCATTTTTTTCCCAGCCTTGTCAATCTCATAAAGTCCAAACTCGCAAAAATAGATTGTTAAACAATTGAACTCATTAGTATATACTTATATTTTCCTTACTTTACAAACTAAACCAATGAACCATCACACTAGACCACACAAGGGGTAGCTAACCACATTTGTGCAATGTGAAGATTATCTAGAAATCTACTCACACAAATCTATATCGACACCTAATTGCCAAATCTCGCGAGGATATAATGAGAGAAACCCACAGAATTATATCCTAAACGTATATGCATAATGATGATCCAAAAACCATTTCAAAAACTATGTAATAGATTTTATATATCATAAAAATAGTTTTATGAACGCATACAAGTACCATTGGTGTAAAAATAGCAAATAAGATAATAGTATTTGATATCTAATGAAAACCATCATATAAGAATTCAAAACAAGAGTCAATCATGAAAGTATATTGAGGACTTGTGTTTCGGATAAACTCACCTCAAAAGGTTAGAAATGAAACAACTTCTTCTTCTAAGCTTGATGTTATTTAGTCACCACCTATTGATTTTAAACATAGGTTAGTAAAATACAAAAATACCCTCACAAGGTCACACCATATTATACGTAAAATAACCTCTTTTTTAACCTACATTCGTCATATAAGGACTAATGAATGTGATGAGAAGAGAATAAGACCTCAAACGTAAAAGTTACAAAGAGGTGACATGAAGGGGAAAATAAACACATGACTTGTGTGTGACATGCCTAAATTTGCGGTTATTTTAAAACTTTTTATCTATGCTTATTTTAAAACAAAATATTACTTTTGTTGCGGAATTGGTCCCAAAAATATTATTTCAATATGAGATAATATTAACATTAAACATTTCCGAAGAAACATTCGATATTGATATCTTTTCAAAACTTGGAATGTCATAACTGTTACAAAACATAAGCATAAACGTAGGCCTTACATCATCTTCTATTCTATAGTCTATATCTCCTCGAATATATCTCATCAAGTTCGAACATCAATGTCTTTGTACTGCTTTCTATGATACAAAGAAACTGAGTGGTCAGGTTAGGAAACCTGGTGAGTACATAGGATTTCAATCCCACAATGTTATATATATATATATATATATATATATATATATATATATATATATATATATATATATATATATATAACATTGTGGGATTGAAATCCTATGTACTCACCAGGTTTCCTAACCTGACCACTCAGTTTCTTTGTATCATAGAAAGCAGTATAGATGTACATCCGATTTGGATATCTACATACCCTCATACCTAATCGTATCCGCACCCAATCGATCCTCAAAGATCCTAGTCTATGATTATCATGAGGGATTATCTTTCTTGATGAACCGTTTAGAAATATGCAGACATACCATTACAGTTTTCTGATCAGGACCTACCATTTATGGTTATCAAAGAATATGCAGACATACCATTATAGTTGTCTGATTGGGACCCACCATATCTGCTCATCCCAAGGGGAATACTATATCGTACTCCCGTATAGAGCTACCGTACATCAACACCTGAAAGTATCAAGGAACAAAATGCTACTCTCCGTTCCTAACTTACACACACACACGTCCTGAATGAGACTACCCGATATCAAATTTAATTGAATTAGTCTTATATTATTAACGGGCATAATTACCAAACCTCTAATACCAGCTTTGTCTAGATAACATTATCCTATCTTAGTGTATATATATTTAGTGTAGAGTATTTTAAATATTAATATACTTTTTCTATAACCTTATGATATTTCTATTATTGTTATCATGCGAAAAAAACATATACATTTTTGTCATATATAGAACCATAACTGGTTCGCATATCATATACCCTTAAATACATTTCTAACACATAAACCAGGCAATAAGCATATAGCTCGCACAAAAACTTTCTAACACATATTTAATACTTTAATTAATACTTATATTAAAATCATATTCATGAAAGAGACTATGCACTCACTTGATAAAAGTGGATGCCATAGAATTTAGGCAAAACCTCGTCTTAGCACTTTCAATGACCTAAATGTATAACACTAAGTCTTAGTCTAGTTTCATAATGTCGGCGACTATAAAAATTATAGTCTAGATTTCTCAATAATCTCAATGTCTACATCAAGATCTATCAAGTAAGGATCAGCCAGACATGACAGTTGGGTGACGGGATCATTTTGGCATAAATAGCTTTTCTGAAATCCAAAAACCAAGCCAACATGACCATTCTAGACACCTCTCCCATAAGTAGATCAATCAGTATAACGACATGGAATTACTGATAAATCTTATTTATAGGTTCATAATAATGACTATGACTATAAATATAAGTTACACTGAAAGAATGAGAGTGTAGCTTAACTTACAAAGATTTCTTGGACAAAAGTCCGTAAATTGCACTAGCAACGCTTCTACTTGCTAGCTATTACTACTTAAGGGATTGCAGGGCTTCGCCGAAGGATAAAATTTAGAGAAAATGGTATAGAACCGAAGGAAATCGAGAGAGAGTTGTAGAGGAAATGTGGGAATGGAAGGAGCACAAATGAGGTAT